AAAAGAAACTTTTAACACCTTTTGAAAGAACCAGGTCAAGGCAGCAAAATCCTGGGATGAGCAGAATTTTGGGAATTTGCTCCAAAGGATCCAACATCCCGCTGCTCCGAGCTCTGTGTGGGATGGAGGAGTGGGATTTTGGGAATCAGGTCCAAAATCCCACTGCTCCGAGCTCTGTGTGGGATGGGGGAGACAAATTTTGGGAATTGGATCCAAGATCCCGCTGCTCTGAGCTCTGTGTGGGATACACGAGCAGAATTTTGGGAATTTTTTCCAAATGGTCCAAGATCCTGCTGCTCCAAGCTCCCTGTGGGATACAGGAGAGGAATTTTGGGAATTGGATCCAAGATCCCACTGCTCTGAGCTTTCTGTGGGACACAGCAGCGGATTTTTGGGAATTTTCTCCAAAGGATCCAACATCCCGGTGCTCTGAGCTTTCTGTGGGATGGAGGAGTGGAATTTTGGGAATTGGATCCAAGATCCCACTGCTCTGAGCTCCCTGTGGGATGGAGGAGTGGAATTTTGGGAATTTGCTCCAAGATCCCGGTGCTCTGAGCTCCCTGTGGGACACAGCAGCGGATTTTTGGGAATTTGCTCCAAAGGATCCAACATCCTGCTGCTCCAAGCTCTGTGTGGGATACAGAAGCAGAATTTTGGGAATTTGCTCCAAGATTCTGCTGCTCCGAGCTCCCTGTGGGACACAGGAGCGGAATTTTGGGAATTTGCTCCGAGATTCTGCTGCTCCAAGCTCTGTGTGGGACACAGGAGCGGAATTTTGGGAATTTGCTCCAAGATCCCGCTCTTCCGAGCTCCCTGTGGGACACAGGAGCGGAATTTTGGGATTCTGCCGCCCTTGCCATTCCCGTTTTCCCCATTTCGGGGTGACCTCCATGGGATGAGCTCTCCCCTCTCTGATCCCTGGGATCCCCCATCCCCATCCCTTCTTCCCACAGAGTCTCTCCCTCCTCTCATCTCCCCCTTTCCCGGTTTTTTCCTCCCTTTCCCTGGGAATTTTCCCCTCTTTAGGGCGGGCAGCAGCGCCGCCGCTCCCGAGCATCCAGAGCGAGCTCGGGGATCCATAAAAGGCTCCGGGATGGATCGGGAACGCCGGGAATTCGCACGCACAGCCCCGAGGAGGAGCCCAGCTGGGGGAAACCCTCCCCGCCCTGAGTGTCCTACATCTTCCAGAGGGAAAACGCCAGCTCCTCTGCATTTACACGGATTTTTTTTCCCCCCTCTCCTTTCCCTCTCTTCCCACGCAGCGAATTCCCAACCCCGGCTGCTCCCGGCGCCGCTCGCAGCCCGGCGGGGAGTGGGAGGAGGAAGAGGATGCTCGGAGGATTTGGGAAAATCCGGAGCATTTCCAGCCATGCTCCAGCTGGCGCGGCGGCTCCGGAGCTGTGAGTATTCCCGAGAAATCCTGGGAAAAAGGAAGGAGGGAATTCCTCGCTGGTGGTCGTTTGGAGGGGGGATGTTTTGGGATGCCGAGGTTTTTTGGGACCAGCCACAAAGAAAGCTTGGAGTTTGCGTTTCCCTTCCAAAACTGGGTGGAGAAAGATGATTTTTTTTCCCTTTTTTGTGAAAAAGGAAGGGAATTTCCCGTACTTCCACACCCCCCTCTCCCAAATCCCAGATTTTCAGCTTTTTCCCCTCCCAGCATCCCCAATCCCGTTTTTCCAGCGGTTTTCCCGGAGCAGGCCGGGCAGGGATGGGGTTGCTGTGACCTCCCCCAGGCGCGATCTGCCCCGAGCTCCTCCCGTTCCCTCGGAGGCCGAAAAAAAGAGGGAAAGGAGCTCTGGAAACCCAACCCGAGGGTTTGGAAAAGCTCCTGGATGAGGGGAGGGATTCGGGATCCTGCTGGGAGCTGGGGAAGGGTGACCCTTTGCAGGTGGGTCCTTGTTATTAACTTAAATTTAATAAATTAAATTGAATTAAATTGAATTAAATGATATTGAATTAAATTAAAAATCCTGAGGTAAGCTGTGACGTGAGCGAACCTCACCTTGCTGTGCTGATTTTTTATTCAGGGTTTAAAAAATAAAAAGAAAAAAAGAAAATAAAAGTAAAAATAAAAATAATAAAAATATATATAAAAAATTAAAATAAAAAAAATAAAAATAAAAATATAATAGAAATAAAAATAAAAAATAAAATAAAAAATATAATAAAATATAATAAAAATAAAAATAAAAAATATAATGAAAGTAAAAATAAAAATAAAAATAAAAATAAAAATAAAAATAAAAATAAAAAATAAAAATAATAAAAATTAAAATATAATGAAATAAAAATAAAAAATAAAAATGAAAATAAAAATAAAATATAGTAAAAATATAATAAGAATAAAATAAAAATAATAAATATATAAAAATAATAAAAATTTAAATAAAAAAATAAAAATAAAAATAAAATAAAAATAAAAGGCTGATTTGGGCTCTTTCCTCTCTTTCAAAATAAATAACGAAGCAGCTTTTGTCCCTGTCCCGGCGCTGTGAGACCCCTGCCATCTCCTGCTGGGGAATATTTCCTTCCACAACCCCTCTCCCTCCCATCAGCAGCTGCAGGAAGTCGCAGCTGGCAGGAGGAGGCTGGAAAAGATCCCGAGGGAGCGGGATGGGGGAAGGGATGAGGCGGGGGGAGGCTCCCAGCAGCTCCCGTTATCCCAAAGGATGCTCGGGATCGCGGGGGGCACAAAACGAGCTGCGATCGCCGCTGCTTTTCCTCGGCTCGGCGCGATGAAATCTCCTCCAATTCCCACGGTTTTCCCTCTTTTTGCCGGTTTTTTTCCAGGCGGAGGCAGGGAAGCGGCGGGGTTTTGTTGTTGTTGTTCTTTTCCGGGTGGTTGTTACTATGGCGAGGTCAGGAATGCCCGGCTGACAATTCCAAGCCTGTTCCTTTCACTCCCAGCTGCCGGGCTTGGAGAGAAGGCACCGGGAGCGGGCTGATCCCAGCCCCTTTTCCCTCGGGATATGGGGGAGAGGATGGATCCTCTCCCCGAAATCTCCTGGGTGGGTTCCTGCGTCCCACGGAGGGTCTGCTCCTGCTGGGGATGGGATCTTTGGGATGCTCCTGGTGGTGGATGGAATCTTTGGGATGCTCCTGGTGGGGATGGAATCTTTGGGATGTTCCTGGTGGGGATGAGATCTTTGGGATGCTCCTGGTGGGGATGGGATCTTTGGGATGCTCCTGGTGGGGATAGGATTTTTGGGATGCTCCTGCTGGCAGATGGGATCTTTGGGATGTTCCTGGTGGGGATGAGATCTTTGGGATGCTCCTAGTGGGGATGGGATCTTTGGGACGTTCCTGGTGGTAGATAGGATCTTTGGGATGCTCCTGCTGGCTGATGGAATCTTTGGGACGTTCCTGGTGGTAGATAGGATCTTTGGGATGCTCCTGCTGGCGGATGGAATCTTTGGGGCTGTGATGATCATCCTGGGTCTGTCCCATTCCCAAACGGGAGGAGATCTGGATTCCAGCTCGCTCGTGTGCTGGCCTTTCGAATTTCAAGCCTGGAGCAGCAAAACTTCCAAATCCTGGAAGAGAAGAGAGATGGGAAAGGAGCTGCTGAGCTCTGACATCTCCCCAAGTTCATCCCATGAATCCCTTGGAATTTCACCCGCCTGGCTCTGGCAAATCCCAAATTATTGGAGGTCCATGAATTCCACGAATCCTCCAAATCGAGGGATGGGTTTTCCTTGGAGGGAATATCCAGGAGAGATCCCGCTGTACCCCTGGAGCCCTGAGCCCCCTCCCCTGCCCATCCGTGCTCCAAATCCACTTGGAAAAGACCCTGGATCAAAATCAAAGAATTTTATCCTGCAGGGATAAGGACTGGAGCGGGCTCGGACCCAGAAAAGCAATTTCCCTTCCCTCGGATTTCAAATGTTAATTAGTGCGGGCTGATGAAGCGCTAATTCCCTGAGCCCGGGAGCTGCTGTCGCTTCCCGGTGAAATCCAGGTGATTTTTGGAATCCAGGAATTCAGCGTGTGAGCCTGACCTTGATTCCCTCCACGGGAGGGAAGAGGAGCAGATTCTTTGTGTGCCACGGCAGCGGAATTCAGGCAGAGCTTTACATTCCAGCCGAATTCCCAGCTTTTTTTGCTCCGTTGTTCCCACGGAGAATCCATCCTCATCCCTCTCCAATCGCTCCCTGCCTGCTGGGATGTTTGAAAATGAATTTTTAGGCAATTATTCCTGAGCTCTGGGCGGAGGAATTGCCTGGCCCAGCCCAGGTTCTGCTGCTCGTGTCTCATCCCAGCACTTTGGATTTGAAGGAATAGAATTCAGGAATTCCTGGATGCGAATCCATCGAGCTCCTGGAAACAGGAGCTGGCTCTGCTTTGCGAATCAGCCAGCCCAGGCTGGATTTGTCCGTGAAAATTCACCTGGAAAGGGAATAAATGGTTCGTGGGAGCAGAATCCCGGGATCCTGCAAATCCTGGAGCTGCTCCGGGGATGCTGCTCAGCTCTGGGCGAGTGTTCGCCCCTTTTTCCTTGGATTCTGGGAGGGTGGGAAGCGTGGCTGGATGTGCTGCTGCTGCTTTTCACCGTGGCTTTGTGTTCCTTTGTCCTGAGGCCCCCGTGGAGCCGGGCTTTTCACCGTGGCTTTGTGTTCCTTTGTCCTGAGGCCCCCGTGGAGCCGGAAATTTCTGGAAATTGCACTGAGAATGGACCCAGGGCAGGTCCAGGCAGGATTTATCAGTTTATTGATTAACCCCAGTTTATTTATTAAAATAAATTTATTTTCTTTATTAAATGATATTAAATAATATTTATTATTAATTTATTTATTATTCCTCACGATATAAATGTTGTTTAGTGCCCTCCTGGAAATGAATTTGTGAAGATAAATCTGAACAAACAGCCTTGCTCAGATTAATCAGATTTCATGTCTGCTCGGAGTTGGATGGGAAGGGATTTCCTACTTTTGTCCCTCTCCCCCCCTCCCGCGCTAATTAAGCTCATCTACATGGCGCCTAATGACATGTGGGGAGATGGAGCAAAGGAATGGGGAGCTGGGGGCTCACATTCCTGAGGAATGAGCAGGATCAGGAGGAGGAACCCAGTGGATCCGAGCAGGAGAAGCTCCCCAGCAGGCAGGAGAGCAGACTCCAGCTCTGGATGTCACCTGGAGCAGCTCCGACCTTCTCGCTTGGATTTATTTCATTTTCCCTTTTTTGTTTTATTTATTTTCCCACCTCTTTTTGTTTTGTTTTATTTTTAGGCTCGGTCTCTGCCTGAGCTGCTGAGGCGGCTCTGGAGCCGCAGGATTGATGGAGAGGCACTGAGAGGTACCAGGGGTGATGCTCGGGGGGGTGGCAGAGGGGACACAGGGGACAGGTGGCATTGCCAGGACAGCTCTGCTCCTGACAGGGCAAGATTTGCAGTCGGGGATTATCCCTAAATCCAGGGAGGACATTTTGGGGCTGGAACATGTCTGGGAAAGGGTTTGGAGAATCCTGAGGGAGCTGGGAAGGGTTTGGAGAATCCTGAGGGAGCTCAGAAGGGTTTGGAGAATCCTGAGGGAGCTGGGAAGGCTCAGCCTGGAGAAAAGGAGGCTCAGGGGGAATTCCTGGCTCTGCACAAGTCCCTGCCAGGAGGGGACAGCCGGGGGGGATTTGGGATGTTATCCCAGGGAACAGGGACAGGAGGAGAGGGAACGGCCTCAGGCTGGGCCAGGGGAGGCTCAGCTCGGACAGCAGCAGGAATTTCCTCATGGAAAAGGTTGGAAGGGGCCACCCAGGGAGGTTTGGAGGCACCCAAGGAATTCCTGGATGTGTCATTCCCCGCTGAGGGCACCGATCAGGCACAGCTCAGCCCATCCTTGCCAGGATCCACCCTTAACCACTCCATAATCCCATTTTCCAGCATTTCCCCTTCCCACCATCCACCATGGAGCTGCCCAGCACCAAAGACTTCCACTGGAAACGCCTGGCTCCGCTGCCGAGCCGCCGGGTGTACTCCACGCTGGTGGAGGCGGGCGGGCAGGTCTTCGCCGTGGGCGGCTGCGACGACAACGGCGTCCCCGTGGATTCCTTCGAGGTTTATTCCCCCGAGGCCGACCGGTGGGCGCCGCTGCCCGCCATGCCCACGGCCAGGGCCGGCGTGGCCGTCACCGTGCTGGGCAAGAGGATCATGGTGATCGGCGGCGTGGGCGCCGACCAGCTGCCGCTGAAGGTGGTGGAGATGTACAACACGGATGAAGGGCGCTGGAGGAAGCGCAGCTCGCTGCGGGAGGCGGCCATGGGCATCTCGGTGACGGCCAAAGGCAAGGAGAGACCTCCAAAGGGTTCTGGGATTTGGGGAATCTTCTTGGAGAGCTTGGAGGTTTTTTTCCTAGCTTTGGGTAGAAAAACGTCTCCGGGCGACGATCCAGGGTTGAGCTGCTGGTCTCCAAAACATCTCCTCTTCCAAACATCTTCCAAAACTTCTTCCAGAAGTTGGGCCTCGTGTGTTTGGCACCTCCCACCCCGCTGAGAGGCTCCACAGGAGGTTGGGAGCACAGCCAGAGCCACCCCGGGGTTGTCACCAGCCCTGGAGCCGCGGGGGCGGCGGCTCCGCTGCTGCCGGTGGCGGTTTTGGACGGCTCCGAGCTCCAGGGGATCGGATCCAAACTTCTCATGGGTTTTACAGCAAATTCTGGTCCTTGAACGGATCTTTTTGCAAGGAGGGGATGGATTTTTTACAGGGGAAGGAGATTTCTGGTGCTCTCCCATAGCAGTTTTGTGGGATGTTTTTGTGGAGTTGGGATGGATTTCTGGTACTTTCTATAATAATTAAGCAGGACATAATAATATATAATAATATATAATATAATATAATATAATATAATATAATATAATATAATATAATATAATATAATATAATATAATATAATATAATATAATATAATATAATATAATATAATATAATATAATATAATATAATATAATATAATATAATATAATATAATATAATAT